ACAACATATTAATGTAAAAGAAAAAGTGGTGTTTAGGCATATATCACATTCCTTAATCTTTTAGATGTGACTTGCGCTGGCAAAATAAGGACCTAAGTAGCCATTTAAAACTATGATATTTAGCCTAAGTATTAAATATACCTTTTGTACCAAAAAAAAATACAAACAAACAGAAAAAATAACCATATTCCAATTGTGCAAAATGAATGGAACATGTTATCAATGCACTATCTTCGTTTTTTATTTTTTATTTTTTTATTCAAATGGATGAGTCTTTTTAAATTTCAGATTAGAAGATTGGATTTGGGTTCAACACACATCACATGATTGCAATTCCTGTCTTTTGCAACACAACACCAACGTCAAAAAAAATAATCAAATGATCAAGGGAACGTTTTATTTTTAGGGAAGAAGGGAATAAATGAAAGGGCAATATTAGACAAATGAAGAAGGAAGGATGGCATTGACCAGTGCTCAGAGGGGGAAGACTTGTCAATTATTTTCCATTCACAGCTTGATTCTGGATAATCTTGAAGGGAATGGGAGTTTGCTTCCTCCTCCAGCAATAGGGGTACATAGGCCATAATGAAGCATTTGTTTTTTTTTAAAAAAAAGATTAAACAAATAATACTCTTTACAAGTAATAACAACAACAATATTATAACCGCACATGAGGTCCCTGCACAAGCATCTCACATGGGAAAAACACTTCCAACCCTAATTCAAGACAAGCAAAGAGAGAGGTGACAAGATTGTAGAATATGAATGGCTAAATAAACTAGACTCCACCATTCATGCTATAAATATATATTTGTGTATATATGTATACTTGAAGATTCCATTTGAAATAAAGGCGTTGCCCTTGTTCTGTTGCAAAGAAGCAGTGATCTTGTACAATTGATTCTGCCTCACTTTTGATATCATTCTTTACCCTTTTCTGCAATAGTTAATCTAACAGACACTATTTTTTTAATAACTAAAAATGGAATTATAAAAATAAAAAATAAAAAGCAAGGAAGGGAACCATTGGAGAAGAAGGGGTAGTTTCATGCAAGTTGTTGAAAGGACTACAATCCTTGCCCCCCCCCCAATTCAATGCTGGGTATTGGACAATAATTTTCCAATATGCTTGTGGTTAGATAAATAATGAACAAATAAACTTGCATAGTAGACAAGCAAAGAAGAGGGTTATCTTTGTAGGCATAAAAGTAAGTTGGAAAAAAATAAACTAAAAAAAAAACACACATGCACAAAACCTACAAGCAGTTTAGAAGATTTCTTTTGACCATATTAGTCTCATATAGTCTCATATAATCTCATATAATCTCATTCAAATGTTTGTAATTTATTTCTATTTTCAAATCATGTTAGACTACCTTTTCAAAAGTTCACCTTTCTCACTCTCTATGCATATATATACCCATACATACATACACAGACACACACAGACACACACAAACATGAATGTGTAGAATTAGACCAATTCTCTAATCTTTTATATATGCATTAGATGGAACACTCCAATGATTGGGAAAAGTGCTGAGAAGGCTCTTGCTTTGGGCTCTTGCTTTGTGGGTTAATAAGAAGGAAAGAGAGGGTGTTTGTTTTGTTGGAGATGATGAAACCGAGCTAAGATAAGAAATAGCTAAAAAGACAAAAACCCCTACTTCTCCTGATTTCCTTGTCCATATCCAGCAATAGAAAAAACTACTTAAAAAGAACCAGATGTTGCATTTCCATCAGAAAATCCAGCACCAGAAGAAGGGCACTGACTGGTGTGGTGGTGACAGGTTCTGCTTTTACAGGATAAAATTAAATGATAAGAAACCAACTCATTGCATTGATAAGATTGTTGGTTGCCCTGTTTCTGAGGCAAAAACTAAAAATAAAATAGAATATAATAGACGCGAATGACAAATATAGGCTCAGCTTGCGGGCACAGATCTCAAGACCAGAACTTACTCCAATTGGAGGGTCCTTTTTGTTGTTGTGTTTGTTTTTATTTTTATTTTAGAAAGAAAGAAAATCATGCATAAGTAAATACAGTGTGAAATGAACAATCTGTCCATGATGACGTAAAATTGAAGTTGAGAATAGAAATGAATGGGGTGAAGGATAGATGAGAGCATGCTGTTACCAAAGCTCCTTGCAGGCAGTTATGCCATTATTATGGTTGTGGTGTGTGCATGTATGTTCATGTGTATCATGTATATATATTATTTATCTATTTTGTATGGTTTTGGATGGGGTTTCCTTACCTTGAGTCTGGGTTATGTTTGGAACAGAGCGCTACTTCCATTCCTTGGAAGCTTCAATTCTCCTCTGCAGTCCCTTTTCTCTCAATTTTTAAGAAATCATTTGGGTCAGGTTATAATAACTGAAGATGTTATATTACCATTAACAGTATGGAGTTTTTTTTTTTCTACATTTGCCTAAAGAGAAACAATAACGTCAACACACTTAGTGTCTTTTAAGGATTTTGACTCCTTTGATACCCTCATTAAACATATCAACAGTCTCTTTTCTGTATACTTTTTGCCATACTAGAATAGCAATTAGAGTCACTCAACATCCCTAGTCCAGTGGGAAAAAAACAAAATAAGATAAAATGAATCATAGAGCAAGAATGGAAGGGAGTGCCCAAGATCTGCAGGCACAAAAGCCCCACAGCACAAAGAGATTGAAAACTGTGCATGATTTGTGGAGTTAAAAAAAATAAATGAAGAAGGCAATATCCCAACATCACCTATTTCTATCCTTTTTCATTTCACAACTCTCCAAGGCAACAAAAATTTTTACCTTTTTGTTTTATTTTATTTTATTTTCAAAAGTTACAATTGAAGCAAAAACAAAGGGTGTCATGTGGATGGATGGTCTCCAAAACTGAAAAATGCTATTTTTACCAAACTTTCAACTTTTAATGTTATGTATACACACACACACATGCCATTGGCTACCATGGTGAATAGGGCTTAGAAGTTTGATGAAACATGATATGGAATTTGCACCTTCAAAAAAACAACAACTTTATATTGCCTTTCATGAAGATTAAACCAACATCCCATGCTTGCATTGTGTTGTCCATGCACACCATACTCCACATTTGACAACTAAGTATGTGAACTCTGAATGCTAACATGAATGAAAGCCATGTCCCCTTGCTAATTGCTGCATATGTCTTCCCTTTCCTTCCTTAGAGATATTCTGCTTGGGAAGAAAAATTGAATACTTTGTTTCATTTTTCTAGATGAGAAAATAATAATAATAATAATAATAATAATCAAACTAAAATAAAACAACAACAACAACAACAACAAGGGAACATTCAGCATTTGAAGAAAAAAATGTGAAACAAACAAAATTGTGTTAACGTGGGTAAGTAAACCTTACTTTGGAGGCTACAAGATTCTTGGTGATAAGGCAATGCACTGTTAGGGTTATAGAATAATGGCTGGATAGTGGCATATGCCATTCACAGAGAGGTTGATGTTATTCTTTGTGTTGACATGGATCCAGATACAATAACAATCTATTCTACATTATTTGCAATTAAATGGTCATGAATGCATGATGGAACCTTTTGGCCTTATTTTTACCCATCTTCTATATATATATATATACATATATAAAGTAACGAGAAATATAAACTTTTCTGTATATGTTTATCTACTTGTATACCTATGAAACCTTACATAGGTTTTGGGTACTAACAAGGAACATGTGGGGCTAGACTTGAAACTTCTACTGATAAAACATATTGATTTAAGGATCCAGTTTAAAAGGATTTTGGTGTTGGATTTGCCACTTCAACCACCCAAGTTTTGAGAATCTCACCACTGCAGGTTCCGAAGGGGTTTAAAAAAACACAACACACCATCACACAACAACAGCATCCATACATTCAAATAACTTAGTCTGCATATTTTATTGCCCTAAATCCTCACACCCTGCGCAAGTCAACAGCATTGGCAGTACCATTCTGGGAAGCGGCAGGAGGGATTGCGGGGCAAGAAGATTTTTGCTCATGTTCAGACTGTTGCATTATTTTAATGATGTTTTTGCAATGATCATAAACATATTTTTAAAAAACATAAAAAATCTTACAATTTTTTTTCGTCTTCTTCTGTCTACAGAAAAAAGGATTCGGTAGAACCATTAGGTAGCAGGGGGGGGGGGGGGGGTGGGGGGGGGGAGGTGGAAAGGAATGAAGACACAAACAAACAGACAAAAAATCAAACACACACAGATTCACAGACGCGTTGATCCAAAGTGGGGTTACTAGAAATGGATATCAGGTAGACTAGAAGTGGAGCAGGATGTCGATGATCACCGCATAGTAACCTGGTTGCGGTAAGAAAAACAATCAAAATTGAAATTAAAAATTAAAAAAAAATTAAAATCGGAGCATCACGATTCCTTCTTGCAAGTGTTTCCAGCGGCCCATTATCACTGAAGAAAGGAATCTCTCGCTGTGAAGAGGCTGTTTTTAAGCAGCGGTGCAACAAGCAGACTCTTAAAGATCAGGTGCGTTATGATTGAATTTTCAATTATTCAGCTACTTGTACCTCGTTTATGGTGCAAGAAGGGGGGTTCCATTCTTCGTCTTCATGATGCCATCCCCACACCTTGATCACGACAACCCTTTGGTGACCCTTTGCCAAAGCTCCGTCCCAGATCGTGTTTATGTTTCATCGTCGTCTGGTTTCCTGGCTGTCTTGCGAGTGGTCCGTTGCTGTGCTAGATGCAGCGTTGAACACCATCACGCTCTTCCCTCCAACGCAGGAACAACAAAAGCACAAAAGCCAGCCTTTCAGCGCACGTTGGCGGGCACGCTTAACAAGATTGGATCATTCATTTACTGTACCTCTCGTCGTCTTCAAGCCTTGCTATCCGTTGGATCGTCGAGCCGCGTGACGGGTTTCTCGCCATCCGGTTCTCAGTGTGGTCTTTCTTCATTCCCCCTCCGTTCCGTCCTCGGCTCCCCCCATACATCCTTACTTTAGCTGTTACCATGTTCTGCTGCAAAATTTATACTGTCCGTCCAGCCGAAACTTACATGCTCTTTTTAGCAATACTCTTGGTGTCAGGCCTTTTCTATTCATTGAGCATCTGTTTATGTCGTTGTTCTAGCAAAGCTGAAGCACCTTCCTTGAAGAAGGAGGCTCCGTGCATTGCTGTGTTCTGTGCTGGGGTCCCACTTGCAGTACTCTGGTCGTCATGAAGCCCGTCTTCTGCTGTCCTATCTAAGCTCACCAGAAAGCTTTGCGTGCGGCATCTAGAAGCATATATAGTGTCACTGGTTCCTCATACTGGAGACTTTTGGTTTGGCAAGCACACCATGGCTAATTCCATTGCACTGGCACCAGTTGCTGTCAAGATCAGACCGCATGCGGTGTTTTAGACAACTTAGCTAAAGTTAACGGAGCAGCGGTTGTAGAGGTTGACTGCGTGTGCATATGGGCAGCAGTCCAGGTGGTTCGTACTTCGCGATCTCACCGAACTACCCCCCTAGCTTTATTCAAGGTTTGCTTGAAATCCAGTGAACAGAAGAAGACGAAAGGGTAGGCTGGCTATGTGGTAATGTGTTGTGTTGAACTTGAACACTTTCAATCTGTTCGATGTTTTTCGGAGCTTATCTGAGATGTTGCGAACCCTTTCCATGACCAAGGCCTTGTAGATGACGTGGGATTGGGATATCAGTTTCAGTGCGACCTTGTAAAGTGAGGATGTTGGAGCATAGATTCGTGCATACAGAGGAGGTGCTAGCTTTCAAAGGAATAGGTAACAACTTAAATGCATTTTGAAGGGGCGTTCGTCGACTGAAAACGAGGGCAATGTCAATCACTGCATGCATTTGTTCGGTGTTCATGGCCGAACTGAAACCCGAAGCTTTACGAAGGCACACATGAGGGAAACCCAAGTAGAGATCGCGGGTGGCATGTGCAAAGTTAAAGATTTAGAGCATCATTTGAAACCTGAACTGCTGCTGCACTCTGCTATTTACAAACAGGATATCCAAGGACTCGATAAGGTTTACCCGCCAATTCACGTACTCTACTAGATGTAATCAACTTTATCACTGATAGGTTCTTATAAAAGACACTCTTTGTTGTTGAGCCCTCCCTCGTGCACGTTTTTATGGCAGGACGATTTAGTCGTGGACACTAGTCCACTCTAGGAATCAATTGAAACTGGCAGAAGTTCTTTCAGACGCGCATCAGTTGTTTCTCCGTGGGAGGTTTTGTTACATATTAGATTTGCTTATTCTCTTCATTCAGACATCTCCTCAGGAACCATGGCAATCGAAGTAAGGGGGAGCTGGGCCGCCGACGCAACCAAGATCATGGGCCATCACTTCGCAGAGGAAGCAGAACGGATGCGATCTATGCATAAGTCTCAAGAGTTGGAAACTCTCCACAACGGTTCGGTGCACCTTGGCAAGGAGTACTGCGGGGGTGGTCGGACCAGTTTTTTCCAAATTACAGGCTTTTCAGCTCCAAAGACTGTGACCACAGACTGCGAGAAAACCTCAAACTTCGGGTCCGACTCCGGCACTCCTGTCGGTTACTCTGTTCCCTTTCATATGCTCAGCATGTCCGCCAATGAGCGCGCCTGTTGTGTACAGTCTGTGGAGAGCTGTAGAAAATTCAATTCCGATTTCAAAATATCCAGCGACGATGACACGGAACATGGGAGTTTGGAGGACGACATGAAGGAGTTGAACGAAGACATGGAAATTCCCTTAGGTCGAGATGGCGAGGGTATGCAGTCAAAGCAGTGCCCGCGCGGCCACTGGCGTCCAGCGGAAGACGACAAGCTGCGAGAACTAGTGTCCCAGTTTGGACCTCAAAACTGGAATCTCATAGCAGAGAAACTTCAGGGTCGATCAGGTAATGTTTCTTTGCATCCTCCCGTGCTGTGCAGATTCAAGAAGTAAGATTATTGCGATCTTATTAGTTCTAGCGCCATATCATCAGCGTACGCGCGTACGATGGCCTGGAAGCCATTTTTATCCAGGCCACCGTTGCCTTAAAGCCGGTTCTGCATTTTATCAGATTACATTCAGTAGCTGACTTGTTGAATGAGTTCTAGTTTCGTTAGCATGCGGCGTAAGATCAGACGTTTGATCCTCGAGGAAACCAAAATGCAGCTTTGGCAACACTTGAATTGTAGTTGTTCAAGTTGTACGGTCATAGTATTGCAACTAGAAAAGAGAGGTACATTTTGGTCACATCAAGAATGCAGGCTAGTCTTGAACTGTTGAACAGAAATCTAGAAACAAGCCATGATCGAACGGCAATTCTTACATGCTAAAATCACTTCTCTCAGCACTCAGATGATCAGATATTGCTTCCAAGAGGTTCTGTTTGAAGGCTCTAAGAAGAAGACTAATCCAGTGATGTTCCTTGTCTGCACAGGGAAAAGCTGCAGGCTACGGTGGTTCAATCAGCTGGACCCTCGCATCAACCGGCACCCATTCTCGGAAGAAGAGGAAGAGCGGCTGCTTATAGCACACAAGCGCTACGGCAACAAGTGGGCATTGATCGCGCGCCTCTTTCCGGGCCGCACAGACAACGCGGTGAAGAATCACTGGCACGTTGTGACGGCAAGACAGTCCCGTGAACGGACACGAACTTACGGCCGTATCAAAGGTCCGGTACATCGAAGAGGCAAGGGTAACCGTATCAATACCTCCGCACTTGGAAATTACCATCACGATTCGAAGGGAGCTCTCACAGCCTGGATTGAGTCGAAGTATGCGACAGTCGAGCAGTCTGCGGAAGGGCTCGCTAGGTCTCCTTGTACCGGCAGAGGCTCTCCTCCTCTACCCACCGGTTTCAGTATACCGCAGATTTCCGGCGGCGCCTTCCATCGACCGACAAACATGAGTACTAGTCCTCTTAGCGATGTGACTATCGAGTCGCCAAAGTTTAGCAACTCCGAAAATGCGCAAATAATAACCGCGCCCGTCCTGCAAAAGCCAATGGGAGGTGCATATCTACTTGACGAGAATGGCTTTGATCCTTATCGTCCAGTCTTCCGAACTCAGTTCGATTGAGGTTATATATGAGATGCCTTGTTATAGAAGCTCTCTTCTAAGAATTCATTCGATCGCTGCGCAGATCCCAGGTCAGTATGCTTGCCGAATTCGACTGTTTCCGACAAGCAGCAAGTGCTGCAGAGTAATTCCATCGACGGTCAGATCTCCTCCGGGCTCCAGACAAGCGCAATAGTAGCGCATGATGAGAAATCGGGCGTCATTTCAATGAATCATCAAGCACCGGATATGTCCTGTGTTGGATTGAAGTCAAATTTTCAGGGGAGTCTCCATCCTGGCGCTGTTAGATCTTCTTGGAATCAATCCCTTCCCCACTGTTTTGGCCACAGTAACAAGTTGGTGGAGGAGTGCAGGAGTTCTACAGGCGCATGCACTGAACGCTCTGAGATTCTGCAAGAACAGCATTCTAGCCTTCAGTTTAAATGCAGCACTGCGTACAATACTGGAAGATATCAACATGAAAACCTTTGTGGGCCAGCATTCTCGCAACAAGACACAGCGAACGAGGTTGCGAATTTTTCTACGTTGGCATTCTCCGGCCTAGTGAAGCATCGCCAAGAGAGGTTGTGCAAAGATAGTGGATCTGCTCTCAAGCTGGGACTATCATGGGTTACATCCGATAGCACTCTTGACTTGAGTGTTGCCAAAATGTCAGCATCGCAGCCAGAGCAGTCTGCGCCGGTTGCATTCATTGATTTTCTAGGCGTGGGAGCGGCCTGAAGGCTGCGGAAAGATTTTAGCAAAGCTTTTATAACGTTTTTTTTGCACAGGGCTGTTTTTAGCTTGTATACCAGTAGGCACTTCTACTTCTTTTTCTTCTTTTCTTTTTCCCCTTTTCTTCTCCCCCCACTTTCACCATTTCCGCCATAGCAGCCTTTGAATCACGTAATGGAACCTTTGGCGGCCTGTATGAGGCACTTTTGGAGGCATCCCTGGACGAAGAATGGATCAAACCGTACTGCGGATGTCATGCTTTGAAGCTGCAATCCGAATTCAGTAGCATGCTGTGGATGACTCAAAAGGAGTAGCTGCTTTGTGAAACTAATACTATACAGCGGATTTTGAAGACCCAAGTTTCATGTGGACAAGTCTGAAAAACTTATACGCCACCTCCATGGGCTTCTACGATGAATATGCGCTTTCGGCTTACACTGCGGCTCTTTTTTGCATATATATATACTTCCATTCAATTTTATTTGGAAATGTTTTGAATCTACCTTCTCGTACAAAACTGGGATCAGAAATCTTCCAGGTTGTGGGTCGCAAGTTAACTCTGCAGATTGTGGCTGACACTTGGGCAATCGGCAACTTTATCTTTTTGTTTTTTACGCTTGAACGGACCTCAGCTGTACAGACACTCATCATGTACATTCGATGCCATCTCTTGGCTTTCATGGAAGTTCAGATATCGGAAACTGTGACAGAGACATAGAGAGAGAGAGAGAGAGAGAGAGAGAGATTCTTGATGCACTGTGCGCCGAGTTTGAGACTAGTTTAGAAAGATTGATGAAGCTAGCAGTAAATTGTTGGCCTCATCTGAAAGGTACGGCCTTGACTCCGTGAGCTTTTTGAGGAAATAAAAGCGGAACTGTTGCAATGTTACGATTGGGTGGTATCCATTCACTCTGGGCTTACTTTCTAAACTTTGCAGAATGTTCAGTTCGTTCGTCTGTAATGAAAGGTTAATGTGGCAATTATTTGTATTAGTGATGACTGTCTTTTCTTCTGCTCGACAGGACTACTTTGATGTGGTGCTCAGTCAGATCTGTGTGACCAAGGCCCGAGACGGTATGTTGGAGATCGTATAGTGTTGTCATAACTAATTCTGCGTAAGGCATTATTGGGTTCAGATGAGCAATAATTTTCTGCTCGTGCAAACAGCGTCTTAAGTGGAGATTGTGTTCAGGATTACACTCTGACTGGAGCTTGATGTGAAAAATTCTTGAATTGGTTGACCTTGCATGTGCACGAGTTGCCCAACTCAAGCGGATATCTACACTGGATCAGTTGTGAGGTGTAGGACAGTCTAGGTGCTCTATACAGCTGACCGAGATCCTAGTTCGCAAATACCACCATTGGAATGGGCACACGCCTGACGATCTGGCCTGTCAAGATGCGACGTTCTGCTGCAGTGCTGTGACCACTGCGATGCTGAATAACACCTGTCACAGATTTGCGAACTCGAAAGGTACTGAAGGTCCCACCGGAGCCTTTTCCCTTCAAACAAGTTGAACTGGCCGAGATACGTAATACGGCCTCATATCAAGACTGCACGAATCAGAATACTCAGGTATTTAAAAGCTGTTTCTCTTGTCATAGATTTTTGTGGATAGAATTGCTGCTGCAGACTGCTTTAGTCCTTGCTGGCTGCTTCAAAAACTTCTGTGGGTTAAACGTTCAGAGCTGTGATAGTGCTCAAAGTCCTCCAGGGATTCTGGCATCGTGTATGTACTGATCCTTACTTGGTGAGTTCACAGAATCGCGCTTGCATTTTCTTTAGTAGGAAGTTGTTCCGTTTCAGAATATCCAGGTGATGAATCGATTTGCTCAGAGTATATGCAAGCACCAAGCAGCCCATGATAATAAAATAGCCGTCTTTGAATTATCAAATACCTGCTCCTTGGCTCTGTCGTTTATAAGACCACAGTTACAGACAATGCAGAATCGTCAGTAAGCTCACCTGCCTGCAAGGAGCACAACCTCACCATATTTGTACCAAGAGTACGACATATAAAGATAAATTCACTGCCAGTTTGTGCGTCATGTTGGTTAATGCATCCATAGTTGAAAACTCTTTAGCGGTAACAGCATTGGCAGGGTCACATAATTTCACTCCACTTTCAGTGTGCCGCTTACATGATTTGCCCTTGTCCTCATCCTCGCGCTAGCTTTGACAACGAATTCGAAAGTACACAATGCTGAACAACAATAATGGATGCTGGAGAAATCGTGTCTATTTTAATCGAAAACCGAGAAGTTTTTTTGCTACAGTATATACTTTAGATGTAAAAGAAATTGGACAGAATTCGTAGTCAACCCTTTTAGAATTTGACAGTAAAAAGCCTGCGTCTCTCTAGGCGGGAATGCTAACAAATACTGCTGAGTTACATGTTGTACTTCCATCTCACCCTGTACTTTCATTTAATGCGCCCAGGAGCAACGAAAGTTCACCCCTATCTCTGTTCACAGTTATGTAATCTACACGTACATCCGTTGGCACAGAACCTCTATTAGCCTCTTAAAGTGCAGAAGTCTAAAGTCTGATATACTCTGAACACAAATAATTTGGCTTCAGTTACACGCTTAAGAAGTAATAGCTGTTGTCCTCTTCTGTAGAGCCTAACCGCAGCCAAAGTAAACAGTACATTAGCTCGAAAATGAAACTCCCCTTGCATTAAAAAGAGTCCACATTTCAATTTCTTGGCAACATTGAGATTTTTTCTTTTTTTCTTTTATAACACTTCCTGACGGTTGTTTCATAGAGCCTTCAAACGAGCTGCACAGTTCAAATTTTTGAACGAGTGTTCATACTAAAATAGCTCCTTGCCTAATACCGTAGTTACCTAGAATGGGACTATCTCTGACACAAGTTTACTAAAATGGTACATTGTACCTGAAGCATAGCTGCTGTCATTGTGAGTCGCTTGAGCATGTAAGGATGTAAGGTTGCAGCAGACCACTGCGACCACATTATTGATCCAAGCATGTTGAAACTCTTGACAAAGATTTTTCCATAAGCTTTTACTCCAGACGTCTCAGCAAGTTTTACTGCAGTAGGAAGTCAGGCACATTGAAAAGATTTATGTGGTAAATACGAACGGTGGGAATTTGCAAACTTTACTTGCCTTTTGAGTGTCTGCTCTGATTGGACCTACGTGAGCGAGCATGGGTTTACAGTTACTTGTCAGATGTAATGACTGCAACAACTTGCCACAACAAAGGCTGGCAAACAATTAGACTACAACAAATACTAGCCAACAAATTTCCTCTATGGGACAAAGAAATGAGAATCGATTTCTCCACATCATGCACAATCAGGCTTCTCTGTCAGATCCTATTATGGATTTTTCTCATACATCTTGTTCCAGGGGAAACTAAACATTATGACTGCTACATGTAGCTGCCTCTAGTAGTATACAACGCTTTACATATAGCTACTGCTAGCTGATCTCATCACAGATGTAGAATCGTGAAGACACAGAGGTGCGACAAACAAACCAGGGAAGATACCTATTTTTTAATAACATAGTTAAAGACGTCAAAACATGCTGCACATTCCTGTTAGTAAGTTCTATTCAAAAAACAAACACATGGCAAATTAACTTCTCCACACTTTTATGCAATAAATTGCATTATTTAATTCTGCTTTTAATATCAACTGGGTATCATTTTGTGTTGGAAAAACAAAAAAAATGAAAAGAAGCTCTCTTCGAACCGCTTACTGTGTTCGTAGAAAGTTCTGTACAAGATTTGAAGTGTTTCGCACCATGGAGAACTTAGTACGACAATATGAGTCTTGGATAATTTTCTGTCACTGCACAGTAGACTCCTTAATTGTGTCGAGACAACAAGTATGTTACAAGAAACATCAACAAAAGCAGATCCTGCATTGCCGGCACATGGGAGGCGTTGTCCAACTGGGGTTCTCCTAGTTTTCAATCCAGATTCAAGGCTTTTGCAGGATTCGGGTAAACGTTCGAAAGGAATAGCACAACATATGCTTCTGTGCTTTCACCATATTCACGGAGCAACAGCTCGCGACTGCTCGAGCCGTACAAACCAAGGCAGTCTATCTAGCCATTTTTAATTGGTCTGTGCTGCCCCGGCGCTTCATCCATGATAGGCCACGCACCGCATCAGGACCAAGTCAAAAATTCCTCTCCCATGCGTGCCTACGCCAGAGCCGCATCCGCAGTCAGATCATGACCGTTAGAGGCCAAGATCATGAGCAAGAGGAGCAAAATCGGGCTAAGATAAGGAGCCCTCGTGGATTTCACAAAGGGAAACAGTCCCCCACTGTGCGTCCCTACATTCTTGCGTAGTAAAACCTGGATATTACAAAAACACTGCGAGAATCCTGGAAACTGAAGAGGGTAATGCAACACGTCGACTATAGTATTCGCCAAAGACATTCCTGAAATGCCAGTGACGCTGAAAAGAAAATTCGCGTTATGTGGACGCACAGCTCTCAAACAATCCTGACTCACCCACAACTGATTCACCTCAATTGCAGATTCTTTATCGTGTTCCACCCGAACTCACCGCAACACGCCTCAGGCGATCTATGCCAATGGACCTTCCAAGGATTTGCCAACTTCAAGCTTAGACGCCGTCGCACATCTCTCACTGTCTCCGAATCACAGGAGTGATTGGGGGAAAGGTACATTCCTGTCCTCTATTCATGCGACCCACTTGTTTACTGATGTGCTTCGACATTTCCGCAGTCGATCGGTAATTATTGTTTTCTTTAACCAGACATGTCTATTATTTGCATCTTTGTTTTGCTTTGAATAGAAAATATCTGCTCGTGGACTCGGTCTTGTTGTGTTCCCTTGCTGCGTATCCTAGATTCTCAGCGCACATGGTGGCCCAGTGTGGCCGTAAGATCAGGACCATCTTGAACAGAAGTCTGCAGCTCCCTTCGTCTCCCAACGCTTCGTCTGGCAATGATTTGGGATCGCAGGTACTGCATCGGGCCAAGTATTTACCTTACAAGGCCACCATTCATGCAAACACTCCACCTTCAGATAATCATTTTAATACACACAAAGTTCAGTGGCACTGGTCAGCCCAATTCCGAATCCCAGTACTCAGTACCAACAGCTCCGGTCTGCTGAATCCCTGGGTTGGACTTTAGAAACGTCGTGTTCCTTCACCGTGCAGCAACGGTTACAACTTGGCGACCACGATTTGAAAACTGGAATCCACATCAGGCGATCAAGACGTAGTTGCCCGTGATTGAAGCCTTGCTGTTATGGTTTGTTTTGTTTGTTTTGTTATGTTATGTTCTGTTTTTTCGAGTTTTGTGAGTCCTAGCCTTCATTTGAGGGAGCATTTCTTTTTAATCTTGCATCTGTTCATCGCAACCATGACCCTGTTCAGATCATTTCATGCTTTTCCCGTGGAATCAGTGGCCTCCAGTGAACCTGGCAGATGATGTATCTAGCGCACACTAGCTACCAAGTAAGCAATTATCTTGTGCATGTCGACTTAGTACATGAAACAGTGCATTCGTTACAATAGAAACGGTGGACTGAGAAGTGGTTTTGCTGCAGAAACAATGCCTTTGATGTACAATAATAACTCTGTGAGTTCAGGTGTCTCTGCTTCAAAAGATGGGCCGTCTGCCTTTTAACCTTATCAAACCTCATAAAGTAGTGCGCTTTGAGAATTTCATGTTTTCTTTCAAAGAGTTTGTATGATGATGACAGTCGTTGTTGTAATATTTATTCATATTATCACCAAATTTTAACACCCTCTGTTCGGGACTAATCTAATTTGTGCTACGCATGTCCAAAATCAGTGTTGAGCCAGTATCTTATTCGTATTATTTCTCAAACGGTTATAAGTTTTTGATATCATAGGTTGAGCGTAGCATTTCA